GAGTAATTAGGCATCTGTCATGGATTGAATTGTGTACCCCAAAAATATCTTTAAACTTGGCTGGGTCATGATTCCCAGTATTGTATAATTATGTACCATTTTGTAAGCTGATGTGATTTCCTTAAGTGTTGTAAACTCTATCACTATGATGTAATAAGATGGATTAGCGGCAGTTATACTGATGAGGTCTACCAGATTAGGTAGTGTCTTAAGCCAATCTCTTTTGAGATATAAAAGAGAGAAGTGAGCAGAGAGAGGTGGGAGCCTCATACCACGAAGAAAGCAGTGCTGGTAGCAGAGAGCGTGCTTTGGACCTGAGTTTCCTGTGCAGAGAAGCTCCCGGACCAAGGGAAGACTGATAATACAGACCTTCCTCCAGAGCCAACGGAGAAAGTGTTCTCCTGGAGCTGATACCCTGATTTGGACTTGTAGCCTACTAGACCGTAAGAGAATAAACTTCTCTTTGTTAAAGCCATCCACTTGTGGTATTTCTGTTAGAGCAGTACTAGATGACTAAGACAACATCCATAGACAAAAAATGAACCATGACCTAAACCTCATACCTTATAGAAAAATTAACTAAAATTAATCATGGACTTACATGTAAAAAATAAAACTCTTAGAAAATAAAATAAGAGAAAATCATCAGGATCTAGGGGTAGGTAAAGATTCTTAGATTTGACACCAAAAGTGTGATTCATAAAAGGACAAATGATAAATTAGACCTTATCAAAATTGAAAACTTTTACTGCATGAAAGACACGGTTAACAGGATAAAAAGAGAAGTGACAAATACGCAAGCCACGTATTTCACAAAGGACTTGTAGCTAGAATATTTAAAGAACTCTCAAAACTCAATAGTTAAAAAAAATCCAATTAGAAAATGGGCAAAAGCCATGAACAGACATTTCACCAAAGAGGATATACAAACTGCATATGAGACGTGAAAAGATGGCAACATCATTAGCCATCAGGGAAATGCAAATTAAAAACACAATGAGATATCACTATATATCTACCAAAATGGTTAAAATAACAGAGTAACAACACCAAATACTGGTGAGGATTGGAGAAACTGGATCACTCATACATTGCTGGTGAGAATGTAAAAGGTACAGTCATTCTGGAAAACAGTTTGGCAGTTTTTTATAAATATGTAATTACCATACTACCCAGCAGTTGCACTCTTGGGCATTTATCCTGGAGAAATGAAAATTCACGTTTACACAAAACCTCTACATGAATGTTACTAGCAGCTTTATCCGCAATAGCCCAAAACTGGCATCAACCCAAATGTCCTTCAGCAGATAAATGGTTAAAGTGTGGTGTATTTATATCATGGAATACTACTCAGCAGTGAAAAGGAATTAGCTATTGATACACACACCGCCACCCATCTATCTATGGCTTCCATGTTGCTATGATGCTGGAAGCCATGCCACCTGTATTTCAAATACTAGTAGAGTTATCCAGATGGAGAGGTGTCAGCGAAGCTTCCAGATTAAGACAGACTAGGAAGAAAGGCCTGGTGATCTACTTCCAAAAATTAGCCACTGAAAACCTTATGGATCACAACAGAACATTGTCTAACTTGCTTGCTTTGGACACATCATCAGGAGGGATCAATTGCTAAAGGAAGACATCATGTTTGGTGAAGGAGAGGGCCAACATGGGTGAGGGAGATCCTTGGTGAGATGGATTGGCACAATAATTGCAACAATGGACTCAAACATGCTGGTTATTTTGAAGATGATGCAGGACTGGACAACGTTTCATTCTGTTGTACGTAAGGTCACCAGGCGTCAGAGTCAATTTGACAGCAGCTACCCACTGAAAGGTTGGTGGTTTGAACTCCACTAGCCATTCTGCTGGAGAAAGATGTGGCTGTCTGTTAGGTTAAAGATTTACAGCCCTGGAAACTCTGTGGGGCAGTTCTACTCTGTCCTATAGAGTTGCTATGAGTAGGAATCAACTTGATGGCAATGGGTTTTTTTTGTTTTTTTGTTTTTTGTTATCTATATGTCTATCTAAAAGGAGCCCTACTGGTGCTCAAAAACCCTGGTGGTGTAGTGGTTGAGAGCTACGGCTGCTAACCAAAAAGTCAGCAGTTCGAATCCATCAGGTGCTCCTTGGAAACCCTATGAGGCAGTTCTACTCTGTCCTATAGAGTCACTGTGAGTTGGAATCAACTCGATAGCAATGGCTTTTTTTAAAAAAAATATTTTTTTGGTTATCTACATGTCTATCTAAAAGGAGCCCTTTTGGTGCTCGGCTACTAACTGAAAGGTCAGCGGTTCAAAACCAGTAGCCACTCTGCAGGAGGAAGATATGGCAGTTTGCTTCCATAAAGACTACAGCCTTGGAAGCTCTATGGAGTAGTTCTACTCTGTCCTATAGGGTCACTATGAGTTGGAATCGACTCCACAGCAATAGGTTTGGTTTTATTTTTGGTTTATATATCAACCCACATAACACCTGGAATGGATCTCAAGAGTATTATGCTGAGTGAAGAAAACCAATCTCATACCGTATAGTTCCATTTATATCACATTCCTGAATAATGTTAGAGACATGGAGAACAGCTTAGTGGTTGCCAAGAGTTAGGGATGGTTGCGCGGGTTCATCTATACAGGGGTAGTACAAGGGAACCTTGTGGTAATTTCTGTATTTTGATTGTGGTGTTGATTACATGAATCTACATGTGTTAAATTGCATAGAGACACACACAAATTAGTGCATGTAAAACTGCCAAAATCTGAATAAACTCCATGGATTTTACCAATGTCAATTTCCGGGGTTTAATATTGTACTATAGTAATACAGGAGCCCTGCTGGCACAGTGGTTAAGAGCTACGGCTGCTAGCCAAAAGGTTGGCAGTTTGTATCTACCATCCGCTCCTTGGAAACTCTATGGAGCAGTTTTACTCTATCCTATATGGTCACTATGAATCCAAATCGACTGGACAGCAATAGGTTTTGGTTTATAGTTATACAAAATGTTACCGTTTGGGGAAACTGGGTAAAGGGGTTCAGGGAACCTCCTCCTTACAAATTTTTTGCCACCTCCTATAAATCTATAATTATTATTTTTTAAATGCCTTAAATTTTTTTTTTTAATCTAGAGAGTTAAATTTTTTTCAGAAGGAAAATTGGTCTAGGACTTCAGCATCCATACTGCCGGAAACAGAATTTTTCCCATTCTTTTTGTCTTAGTGGGCTTATAATTTGTTTTTAATTTTTAAAAATTGTCATTTTGATGTGGGTTTAGGAGGGGGATGGGATAAATACATAATCAGTGCATTATGTTTTTAAAAGCGATTGTTTAAGGGTTTTAAGCAGGGTTGTGCCATTTAGATCACCCTGGTGGTTTCTTAAAGCGTGGATATGAGGGAGGGCAAGATTAGAAGCAGAAAAACGCTATATTCCCTTGACTCTTAAGAAATACATTTTTCGCATTTTAACATCTCCTAAATTAGGATGTATAGCTATTAGTCAGATAGTAGGCATACTGTATTTGTCATTACCTGCTCATGAGCATCAAAATTTGCAAATTGGGTGTCTGACGTTTGGAAAAACGTTCCAGAGAAAGAAGAGGAACGCTCTTTTAAGAAATGCTACATCACCAAAGCCCTTGATGGCACGAACAGAGGACTACATTGTGTGGAAAATCGTGGACATCCAAGACTGAGTCAAAGGATGAATTATAAGAGCCTCTGAGTGTGAAGGTTTAGGAATAGTGTTACCATGTTATTTCATTTCTATTTTCCTTTTTATGTATGCACAAGAGCGATATAAAAAAAACTCTAAACCTACACTTTCTGTAAGTGTAAAATAAATTTCTAAGTGATAAAGCATTGTATGAAAGTTTATTTGCAACCATTTTTCTTAGCGGGAAATAAAATGATGAGTTTTACAACTGATGGCGTCCAGCCAAGAGATAAAAGTCAAGCAAGACCATGAGACGAGAGGAGGGAATCCCTGAAATACTAAGACGGCAAAATTGACTTAATTTGGTTAACTACTGGAGGTGAGGGTAAAGATGAAAGGGAAGGAAATCTGGAATGGCTTCCAGGTTTCTGGTTTGGGCAACTGAGTCGATGTGGTAGCCTCCCTGAGGATGGGGGGGGTGGGGGGAGGTGTTAATTTAGGATATACTGCGTAAGGCGCTTGGCTGTGTTGAAGAAAATGATTCAACAAGGTCTTCCCATTTGCTTTGGTGGGACCGAACCCCACGGTACTTGGCATTGGGAGCCTGCGGCTCTGCCTCGGGTTCTGCATTCTCAGAGCTGTTAGCTAGAGGAAAAGAGAAGGGAAGGAGCTCCGGCCAGGGCTGGCAGCGCCGCAGTGCACAGACTACGGAACCTCAGTCCCTCCAGGACCCTCCCGCGGCCGTCGGCGGAGGTGTTATGATTGGCTGCAGACATCGGTGCCGCTCGCGGGCAGGCCCAGACTCCAGGGATTGCTCAGCGATTGGTTGGCAGGTACTAACAAAGCCTAACTCAAATTGTGGAAGCCGCTCTTCCATAGTGCTGGCCGGTATTTCCACCCCGCCCAGTTGCCTAGCCAGATAGGTAAGCAAACTCTAGTTGTATTGGTCAGTTAATTTTCCTAACAGCAACAGCTCCTTTCCGGAGTCGGGGTGAGAGAAGAGCTGTGATTGGTAAACTTGCAGGGGCGGGGCGGGCTAGGCATTAGCCGGGCTTCGCCTGGGAACTTGGCGCCTGTCGTGTACGTGGATTGGGCGGTGGGATTGTGAGCGTTGCCACGGAGGCGTGGCCAGCACTAATAAAGATAGGGACCAACGCGGCAGCTGCATTAAGTTCCACCGCAGCTAGAGCTCGGGCTGGTGATTTAGAGGCGGAGTTCGGAAGTTCCGTCGACTTAGCCGCAGCGTCCCCCCCTTCGCCGGCTATCTCGCAGCAGCTTCCAGAGGAGACGGACCCATACTCCCTCAATCAGAAAAATGTGAGTTGACTCTGGTGTTGGGGACTAGGCACCTCCTTACCAACTCTCACCCCCAGCGCCGACTCTGCAGGACGGAAAATGGCGCATTGCAGCAGCTGCGGCGATGCGGGGAACCACTGCCCTACGCCCCTTCCAGACCGGGCCATCCCCGGGGAGGGGGCCAACACCCCATTCCCACATGAGCCACAGACAGCACCCCGCGGGCGGGTTAGGAGTGCGGGGGTCCCATATTCATTGCACCTTCTCTTCTCGCCTGTGGGGCGCTTCATTCCCGGTCTTGGGTTAGTGGAACCGGGAGATTGGCGAACGGGGGCTTGGAGACATCAGGGTGAAGGGTTCGAGGCTCTTTCTTGTGTCTGACTGAGTGTGCACTTAGGCCTTTGGAAAGACAGTCATGGGTGCACCTGCCAGTTAGTAACTTGCGTTGCTCTACAACCTCTGCAGTTGTATATGCCCCTCACCCTCGAAGTGTGATGTGTGCCCCCGTAATGGCAGCGAGCGAAGCTCCAGAAACTTATCCGCCAGTTCTCTGGCGCCAGGTGGGCAGCCCAGAAAGACTCAAGGGACAGTGGCATGTGATTCCACGCAGCCATTCATCCCAAGGCCACTGTATAGAAGGTGTTTTCTCCTGTCACGGAGTCTTAGCCAAGTATTTGGAAGAGAAATAGGGAGAGCTGAGCATCCTCCCCTCCCCCTAACTTTCTCAAATTTGTCTCTGCCATCTTCAACTTCTCCCCTATCCCAAGATCCTGAAGGAGAACTATGGCTAGACAAATGAATTACTTCCCTGTCAGGACCACAATATGTGTAGTAGAGGCTTTTCTTTCCGTTTACCACCTGAAGCCCTGGTCCTAGATGTATTTGTGTTGCTTCTCTTAGTAACAAAAAAGGGAAAGGCTTTACTTGTGTTACATAAGGGTTATAAGCATCCCTAGGTATTTTACAGCTGTTTCCAACGCCCAACAAGTAGTAAGTGAAATGGGCCCCCCAAATGGAATGCTTTATAGCTATTTCACTTTTTTCCTTCATTTCTGATTTGGTATTTGTGCTTTTAGCTGTAGATGGTAGCCCAAGCATTCTGGTCAAGTCCTAGGATTCCAGTTGTTTTCATTTTGGGGTGGGGGATCCCTTTCAGCCGACTGGTTCCCAATAGCAGCCATGTGGGATGGAAGGAGGGAGATGGAGAATGCATGGTGGCTAGCAGGGCATCACGAGGTTTCTGACCTTAATCTTGTCATTGGTGCCACCATCCTGGACTGCTTCCAAGACCAAACACGGGCTGCTACGTGCTCAATGAATTTTCTGCCTTTGGTTAAGAACTAGATTGCTTAGCTCTGTAATAGCGCAAGAGTCTTGTGGCTTGCATAGCATTGTTATCTTTTGTTCCTCTGCCTCGCTTGTGCTTTAGAGGGAGTTGAAAAAGCGATTCCTTAAATGTGGATGAGTCAAGTGTAACCTGCTGGTATAGCCTCTCTGAAGGATTATTCTCTATCGTTTTAGACTGAAAGAAATTCACTTAGGGAAGAAGAGCTTCTGGGTATTAGTTCTATTGTGATTAGTCAAGGAATTTCCTTTTTGATGACTTTCTTGATAGTTTAACGCCTAGTGCATTTACTCTCGCCCAGTGCATTTACTCTTGGCTGCTCCTGTGAGGTATGTTTTGTGAGGTTCTGCTTCTGTTTGATGAGGAGTTCTTTTGTAATTTCTATTCTCCATCAACTTTGAGAGAATTCCCTCCTGGCTATGGGTTCTTCCTTTGCAAAGAAAATTTCACACCTTAGCTTAGACTTCTGGGAATTCTTTAAGAGGTGAATTTAGCCTCTACGTACACGTACTAGATTATTCCTCCAAGAACACCCACTAGATTATTCCCGTCTTGTACGGATCCCTTAGTCTTAGGTGGTACTAAAAGAACAGTCTCCATGTGTGTAGGAGTCTATACAAAGGTTTCTCTTTGGGAGATAAGGAACTAGGGAAATCTCCTGGACTTCATGCCAAGTCTAGAAAAGGAAGAGACAGAATATTTATGATGGATGTACACTGAGGACCATTTTTAGCATTTCTGCTTCCTGTCTGTACTCTTGGAACAGAGTCCATAACTAATGCAATTGCCTTGGGCCCCGGGTTCTGTCTAAGCGAAACCCCTATCTTCTCTGCCAAAAACAAAGTAAGTCAACAGCCCTGACTCATTCCACCTACATAGGCTTTGCTTTTGGTGATTATCCAAGTTGTCTTTATTCAGAAGCCCCGATATACTACCAGTCATCCTGTGAAACATAACCAATAACTGGATCTCCATCAGCAGAGTCTGTCAGTTTGCCGTTTCCTTTTATGTTCAGGCTTTGCAAAAAAAAAGGAACAGTTCAGTCCATAGACTTGTTATGAAGGTTTATTCTTTTCTCTGCGAATTTCTCCTACCTGTGATTGGGGGTTTCCAATCTGACTTCATGTGAAAGGCTCTAACAGCCAGGGAAATGCCATTTCGGCCAAGGCTGGCACATTTGTCCCTATATCCTCTGTTCCAGAGGGTGTATTTGAGTTGGGTCTAACATCAGAAGATAGTCCCAAACAAAATCTCATGCCACCTGGATGTCTCTGAGCCCCATCTGAATGTTGTTACAGGATTTTTCATCTTTTACTTCTTGGGGCTATGCTGCAGCTCCCTGCTTGGGGTTGCCAAGAAGCGAGCATCCCTTCTATTTGCATATAACCTGATCATAATTGCTTTGGTGATCTGGGGTGAGAAATGCCCCAGTGGGAGGGTTCCTTTCTTGTCTGGGTTACTTTTTGTACTCTGCCTACTTCTCTCCACAGGTCTGCTCCAGCTCAGCCACTCGCCCAGGGGGAAGAAGGGGCTGCCCCGGGTGGCGGTCCTCCCGGCCCTCCTCCTAACATGACCAGTAATAGACGACTACAGCAAACCCAGGCACAGGTGGAGGAGGTAGGTGGATAGCTGTTTTCTGAATCATAGACATTTAGAAACAGAAGGAAACATCTTGTCTATTTTTCTCTTTTTTATAGAGGGGTAGCCAGAGGCTCTGGGTTGGGGGGCAAAGCGGCCCTTAGAGTTAAGCAGGGCCAGACACGTGATTCCCTGGTCTGTGATCTCTCCCGTCTCTAGTAGAGAGCTTGGCAGCTTTGTTTCTGTGTCCCCCTCAGGTAGTGGACATCATACGTGTGAATGTGGACAAGGTCCTGGAGAGGGATCAGAAGCTGTCAGAGCTGGATGACCGAGCTGACGCCTTGCAGGCGGGAGCATCACAGTTTGAGAGCAGTGCTGCCAAGCTAAAGAGGAAGTATTGGTGGAAAAACTGCAAAGTGAGTTTTCTTTGCTTCTCCCCCTTCTTTTCCTGGACCCCAACTCATAGAAGGCAAGAAAACACCTCAGGTTCTACATTTCTTCCCTGTAATGGCACAGGATCTCTTCCCTGCAGAACTGTTTGAGGAAAGCCTGAAAGCCTCCTTCATGAGATGCATTACCCCACATTGGCCACCAGGGGAGGCTAGAGTATTCAGAACCACTGGGAGAAAATGATACCCTGAGAAGTTTGGAAATGATTAGCCAAGTAGCTTCCCCTAAGTGATTCTCCTATAAAAAATTCTCACTTGGCCCTTCCTCAGACACACCCAATATCAGCACAACGGCTCAGATATTTTTTTTAAATTTCTGCTACTTTTAGGAATGAGTTGAACACTTCACGGTGAAAAATGAACCAGTTAACTATAGATCTAAAGTCTGCTCCTCTATTAGAGTTCCTTTTAAAGCCTAAGGCAAGAGGAACTCAGCAAAAAGGAGCAAACTGCAGGTGGTCTGGTGTTTCTGAGGAGCTACTGCTGTGGTCCAGGAATTATTCTTTGATGAGAAGCAGGAGGGTTTGGCCCTCCCTGAGAGGCTTGCCAGTCTCCTGAGTGATGTGTGTTTTCTTCCACTGTCTTAAAGATGGAAGAAGTTCTGTCCCCACATCTCTTGTCCTGGCTCCTTTCCTCCTTCTCAAATCCAAGGGCTCATTTTTTTTGTCAATGTTTCTTCAGATGATGATCATGCTGGGAGCCATCTGTGCCATCATCGTGGTAGTTATTGTAAGTAAGTATCGCTGAAGTTGCTGGTGGGGTGACGAGGTGGGAAGGTCCTGGAGTCTTCTCCCAGCCCTGCCTGCCTGCCTGGGGAGTGGGGCTGCTCTGACTGAGGTATGGAGACTGCTGCTGTGGGACCATCACCTGGTTTGGGAGGGAGCAAGGGCAGGTATGCTGGCAAAGTCAAGGGACTTCCTTGATGGACAAGCCTTCCTTCTGCAAGATATTGTTTATCACTGGCGTGGGTCAGAGGGAGACTACGGGAATGGGACACCTACAACTGCAAGACCTTAATGTCTATAACTTGATGTAATTTGCCCTCTTGTTTTCTCCTGTCTGTTTCTCTTTTCCATCTGGGACTTCCTGATTCCTGTGTCCAGTCTACTTTTTTACTTGAGAATGTGCCACCCCTCCCCTGTTCTCCATTGCCATCCAGACTCATGCTTCTTGCCCTCTGTTTGCTCTCTCAACGAACTTCCCCGTCTGCCTTCTTACATCCCAGCCCAGGCTTCTCTGCCACCCATTCCTCCTTTTTTTGTTGCTTTCATTTGCACTATATCCCTCAACACTAGAAATGCTGCTCGTGGCACAGTCTTGAAGTAGCGCCGCCGCCCTACTCCCTCTTCTTATGTACTCTCAAGTTCTCCCAAAGCCAAAAAGAGTTGGAGGCCACGGGAAGGGGGAGGGAAAGGGGAGTAGCTGAGGTGATATGCTCAAGAAGCTGCCAAGATTGGGAGAGGAGAAGGGTATTGATGCTCACAGTGTCTTCAGGAAACGCCAGGCAGTTGGCAGGAGGAAGCTGGGTACAGTTAGGAAAATGGCGACTCACACATTGCTGCCTTGGCTACTTCACCTGGAACTCTCCTTCTCTGCCAGCCCTGGAGGAGGATCCTGTGGATGGGCCCACCGTCCAACTTCGTCCTGGTGAAATACTCTTTTAGAAAGTAAAATCTGTTTTTTTTTTTTTTGTAGTTGTTTCTAATCTGTTAGTTCAGGATTTTCTATATCTTCAGGGATTTTACAACCTTTTAGTTTGTTTTCTATGGGCCTGGAGAACAAACGCTTATTAATTGAGAAAATACTGGGACTCCCATTTCCATCCTAGACAGAATCCCATAGGCTTCTAACTGGAAGGGGCTGTCTTTTCTTCACAGTCTCTGCAGCACTCAGTTGTTTGTGAAGGGCAGCAAATAGTTTCATATTGCCAAAGTTTTGGACTCTCAGTTCATTTTAATTGTTGACATAAAGAGAGAATGCCTGTTAGTTATAGAGAAACTGAGTCAAAGGCCTGATTTAAAAATAAGCTTGGAAGGGGGAAAAAAAGCTTAGAGGAAGCTATTTCTTGTCCTCTCACTGAGGAGAGTTCTGTTCCTTCCTGTTGATAAAGGAATGTGAGGGTGTTAGAAGTGAGGGTGTAGGGAATCCTTCTGCATCACCCCTGTGTACTTGCCAAAGCCAGGGATAAGGGCAAGAGATCCTTTCTGGGGTCTGGCCGATCTGAGTGTTTAGAGAAGGCCGGTGTACCCAGCAACTCAGCCTTTGGGTGGGAGGCATGACAGTCAGTAGACAAGTGAGCTTGCTGCGTTGTCGTGGGGCCCTCTCAGCTAGAGCTGCCTCTGTGTTCTTCCTGCTGTATGTTCCCCTTCAAAACTCCTTGCCTTACCCATCTGAATTCTACTTTGCCTCCTTTCTTTTTTCTCCTCTTTGCCTGGTTTATGGGTGCAGACAGTGGCACGTGAGGATGGGAGCTGCTCAGCCTGTCCTGGGGGCTACTGCTTGCCTTCAGGATAGGATGTTGCATGGGATAGACCAAGGGCCTCACTGAAAGGGTGAGGGGAGTAGGGCAGGCTGGGAACAGAGGAAGAACACCCGCAGCCCTTTATGTCTTCCATCCTCTGGCCCACAGGCAAGGAGAGGCCGAGGCTGTGCTGGGCTGGGTCTGGATGCTCACTTTCCATGCAGCAGCATTTCATTGTGCAAAACCATCCTTCCTCTCCCTTTGCCCCTGTTTCCCACATTCCCTTCGTCCTGCCCTGGGCAGGACTGAAGAGCTGGAAGAAAGCAGTCATTGTACCCTCCCACCGGCCCCCCTCGAAGGTCTCCAGTCTCCCCTGGGCTCCTCCTTGTCTAACGCAGGGGTCACCGCTGGAGAAGAAACACTTCTGTCCTCGATGTATCCCAAGCCTGGAGCAAATCTGCCCTCTTGGCCCACCCAGCCCTGTCACAGGAATTATTTCCTGAGTTTCTGTCCCTCTGAGGCTCACCACAAGCAGTTGGCTTTGTTCTTTGGGGATGTTAGCCCTTCTACTTTTTTTCTCACCCCACTGTGTACACTCTTCTGTGTCTTTGCTCTCCCCCCTCCCTCCCACCACCCATGTGCATGAGCAAATATGCAGCTAAACTCTGGGACTTTGCAGTCAAATGGAGCCGAGCTTCCCACATCCCCTTCATCTTCGGTTTGCCATGAGCCAGTGTGGGGTTTCCACTGTGTGTCTGTCGTCACCTCTTTGTCTTTTTTCCTAACCCTGATCTCATACTTGTATAGAGTAATAACAGTTGTACTTCCACCAAAGGCATGTGGCATATTTACCGATTTCATGTATTCTGAACAAAGGCAAAAAATACAAATTCCTACCACTAAACTGACTTGGTTGTTGTTTGGGTTGGAGGAACTGGGGAGGGGAAGGAAGGGAGTACTGGTTCTTTCTAGTAGTCTGATGTTGCCTTGGGCCGGAAGGGCTGGCTTGTGTGTGCTGTATGGTCTTCAAGAGATTAAAGATCTGTGTGTCGGCAGAGGAAGTGGTCTCCGCTTTCAGCGTTTGTACCTGAAGCAGCCTGACTCTTGCAGGTGCTAGTGAGAGGAAGTGATGACAGGAAGTTGAGTGGGCTTCTCACACTGGCAAACAACTGCAGGTTTTCTCAGGTATCTCCCATTTATGTCCTTCCTAGGTCCTCGGCCTGCTCTGCCTGTCCCAGGGGACCTGCCCAGATGAGGCCTCCAGTGAACACCCACTGTTCCCCATCACCCTCACATGAAGTTTTCTTTTGCTGAGTTCCCCTGTTTTGACCATGTACATTTTAGAAATGAATTAAAGGAAAAACCTCTCCCCCGCAGCTGAGGGGGCAAGGAGTTTGTAGGTATCCTGAAGTACCTGGCTACTATCTGAAGGAGCTGAAGGAAAGTTTTGCAGAGCAACTGAGATGGAGCACAGGGCTGCTTCTGAGCCCCTTTATTTCATACCTTGAACACTTTGCAAGTTGGAGCAACTAGTCTTGGGGACAAGGCTCAATTGGGTCCAGTGTGGGGACAGACAGGGAAGTGGAGAAGCTTTGCCTCAGAGGATACAAGGGGCTTTTATTTTGACAGAATCCAGTGTTTGTGAGTGGTGGCCCAAACCCCACACCTTTGCCTTATTGTCCCTCACTTTCTTAATTTATTCCTGTTTTCTTTCCCCACCATTTCATCCCAAATCTGGCTCTTATGTTTTAACCTCCACCCAGACATTCTGCCTTCCTGATGCCCTCTCACCTTCTTACGTTTTCTCCCTTGGTGTTTCTGCCCAGGGCCCACAATGAAGGTAGAGACTGCATATCCAGAGCCAGAATCAGTGTCCTGGAGATCTGGTGGTTTCTTCATGCCTTTCTTGGGGCTTTGTGAGCTCTAGGGCTTAGGATCTCTTCAGAGTCCCTCTGGGAGAATGCGACTCCTCTACTCTGAGGCAGGAGAGTGGTTACCCAGAGGTCCTCAGAATCTTGACAAACCTTGGCGAGGTGGCTAGGAGGAGACAAGAGGAAATGAGATTAATTTTAGGTGGGGTAACTCCAAGAGTAGGGGGCTGTGGTGGCTGGGCCGGCTGGGAGTTGGGGTGCTTGGGCTTCATCCTTGGTTGGGATGGGGAGGTGGTTAGAGTGGCCTGATCTGTGGCAGGGGGTTGGGGGGAGTGGGGAGGTTAGGGGCCAGAACTGAGGGCAACAACCAGGCTCTTACCTTGCCGCCTCTGAAGCCCCAGGAACAACAGTGCAAGAAGGAAGAGGCCGCTGGCAAAGATGATTCCAAAGGACATTCTCTTCTCTGTAGATTAGAGCAACACAGGGTGGAATCATCCACTGAGCCCTCACCCCCAGTGTCCACTCCGGGGAGGAGGAATGAGGAGGAGTTCGTGTTTCTGAGTTGCTGGTGGAGGAGCTCATGTCACATATCCTGCCCTCACCCAGGGCACATTGGAGCATTTATACTTGTTGAATGTGGTTGGATGTTTGTGTGTTACTCCATACCATACGATTCTCTACCTCTTCCCACCTCAGGACAATTTTTTTTTTTTAAATTGATTTGCAAGAGAGATTTAGATTAGATTAGTTATGGAACAATTAAACTGGGATTTTGTAGATAGCTGGGGAAGAATGGGAGCTGAGACAAAACCCCTGTTCTCAGGAAGCTCACAGTCTAGTGTGCAACCAAATCATGTCTAATGCTGCTGTGTTTGTATTTCTAAGTGCAAATTCTTTCCTGTCACTCTTTTGTTTAAAACCTTCCACCGACATTTTGTGGCTTTCAGGATGAAGTTCAAGCTTGAAGGCCCATCATGGTCTGGCCACTAACAGCAGTAGAGGGTTTAAACCTGAAGGGGAGGCAGGCTGTCTGTTTTTCACATTTTCTGTTTGATCAGTTACTAGGGTAGGTCACCTTGGGCAAATCTGTGAGTGTCAGTTTACTCATCTGTAAAGTGGAATCATGATAATACATTAGATAACACATCTAAAGGGCTTAGTACAGTGCTTGACTCCCGTAAATGCTCAATAAATGTAATGACCCCTCAAGCTTTATTGCCTTCCACTTCCCCTTTTGTCCATATACCTTAGCTCTAGCTGTGCTGACCTTTTTTGCAGTTCCCCAAGTCTTAGGCTGCTTTATAATTTGGCCATCACATGTGCTGTTCTTTCTGTCTTGAGTGTTCCCTTCCCCCTGAGCTAGCTAACTAGACTCAACTGTCTCTTGTAGGTCATCTTCCTTGACTCCTAGTCTGTCTGCCAACTGGACTAAGCTCCTTAAGGGCAGGATCAGGAATTGTTCAGCCTTGATCTCCAGCCTGCAGCACAATACCCGACACACTGGAGTGGGGCCATAATGAAGTCTCAAAGGATGTGTAGTGGGAGCTGTGGAGGCTGCCACCTTGGGAAAAATAAATCTAGCAGCAGAAGCAGGACATGAAGAAGCTGGGACTGCGAACAAAGCCGTGGGAAGCTAAACAAGGCCAAAGAAGTTTTGGGGGCAGGAGAGCCAGGAGCCCAAGTCTGGAGTTGGGGAAAGGAGGGCAGCCTAGTACCTGGTGGGGCAACCCAGGTGCTAGCCCCAAGGGGCTCCTCCAGGGAGATGTGGGTGATCTGGCAGGTGTAAGTGGCGCCTGCAGAGCCAGGGTCTGCTGTCAGGGAGGAAGAGATGCTGTAGGTGCCTGCTGTGCTTTGCCTGAGGCTAGAGAAGGAGGCCCCGGACACTTGGACTGGGGTGCCGCCCAGCTCCTCTCGGGTCCATGTCACAGCCACATCCAGAGGATAATAGCCAGCAATGTTGCAGATGAGGGTGGGTGGCTGAGCTTCATTTACCAAGTTCAGTCGAATCTTAGGGGAAGCTGGAAGAGTGAGGAATAAGATTTCAGAGAGATCCAGCTGGGAACAGCAGAGGAGCCTAAAGCCTTCTCTTCCTGCTGAGAGTGAGAGTAGGTTGTGGAGGCTAAAGTTTCCTCCTCAGTGGTGTACCAAGGAGTTGGGTGTGAGGGGTCCACCCTGGATGCAGGCAATAAGGAGCACAATTTCCATAGATAATTTAAAAACAATAGTAAAGCCAACGAAAGGTTGCCTTGCCTTTTAATATCATGACAAGACAGCAGTTTTAAAGGATATCAGTGAACAAGTACTCTTCTAGATCAGAACTGCACCCAGCATCCTGCCCAAAAGGACAGGGGTGATGGGAACCATCCAGCCAGGGCAGGGCAGCAGGATCCTGGGCTGGGAGATTCTCAATGGGATTATCCTGGAATCCAATGGGACACCTTATCTGATGCCATCTATACTTCCGGGATGGAGAAGGCATTTAGGTTGTGGGAAATCAGTCTGCCACTCTGAAAATTGTCCTTGTGTTTGGATCCCAATCTGGAAAACACTCCCAATAGACTTATCTTTCCCCCGTCTCCAGGATAACTGAGTCCTGGCCTCACCTTGGACGTTGAACTGGATGATTTGTTGAGCTCGGTACAGAGAGGTGGTGATCTGGCAAATGTAGGCCCCCTCGTCCTTTGGAGTGAGGCTGGGTAGGGTGAGTGAGGCGTCCCCAGCCACGTGGAGCTGCTGAGGCTCCAGGGTAGCACCCTCCCGCTTGGCCTGCGCCTGCCCTGTGGTCCAGCTGTACACCTGCTGGCCACTGCCCTTATGCTGCAGCCGCCACTCCACACTGATGAGATCCAAGCCTGGTGCCATGGAGAAGACACAGTGCAGGGAGGCTGAGGCCCCCAGCAGGAAATTCAGGGATGGCGTCTGTGTTGTCACCTGGAACTCCACTGTGGTGAGAAAAAGCGAGATGAGTACTTCTTTCTCCTTGAGGTTACCTGATTGCTGAGCTGTGGGTATGCTTGAGGGGAGTATGGCAGGTTGTGAGCACATACTTGCCCCTGCTTTCTCGCCTGGACAAGGAGGCCAGTTGAGCTCATTTCTCATCAGATGGAGCAGGAAAGAGAGAAAGAGGCAAAATGTTAACAACTGGTGAATCGCTGTAAAGAGTATATGGTGTTCATTGTATTATTATTATTTTACCTTTTCTGTAGGTTGGAAATAGCCCAAAATAAAAAGGGAGAAGATACCTAACAGTGCTAGGACTATGGTAGATGCCGCACAGTTGTGAGGACCCCTCTTCTGATGCAGCAGGATAAATTTAGGTTAGACAACAAAGGATAGCATGTTTTGGTCCTTTCCACAGATAGAAGGGTAGCCCCCTCATCCTGTCTGGGCTTGAGTGTATCTTCTTGGAGGCAAAATATTGAATTAGATGGACTCTGGAGGATCCTTTCATCGTGATCTCAATTTCCTGTGCCCTCTAGGAGTACTGAATTAGAAAGGCCAAGGACTTGGGCTTTGCTATTAAGATACCATGAACATATTCTGATTTATCTCTGTGTAAAACATATCTATCTGAATCCATCCTGATACTCTGCTCTGATTATATTGAAGCACCAGACCACGCTAACTTTTCAGTGGGAGAAAACTGGTGTTTGGCTCAGTAAGACTATTGCAGACAACACACATAAACAGCATCATGTGCCTTATTTCCTCGTAGTTACCCAGTGAGGTGAAATTATCCCCACTTCAGAGATGATACATAGGTTGACTTTGTGTTTGGACCCTCAGCATTCTCTTTTCTGTACTTGGGTCTTCAGGAAGCAGGAGCACTGAGGTCTAGGGATACCCTGAGATGACCTATGTGGTGGATGGAAGTGGACTTGTTCTCTTCCTTCTCCCCCATCTCTGCCCTCTTTAAAAAAAATAAAACTTCTTTACTGCTACCTGCTTTTCATTTTCTCACCTGCAGTCCGCACAGTGCCCTGGGGGCTCAGGGGCAAGTTCAGCGTGGGGTGCCATACAGCCCCCATCTTAGCATCCCCAAAGGTCTTCATCACCATGGAGATACTAGGTCCCCCTCCAGACACTTGTACGTTGGTGATGAACCAAGCTGCTGTCTCAAGAGTGTCATCTTGTCTGGCCTGGAGAAAATAGCGTGACATCTCACAGGTCACCTCCTTCCCACTGCAGTCAGCATGGAGCAAGGCCTCGGCCTGGGGAATCTGTACCAGGTCCACTGGAGAAGAAGGGTAGCACACAGGTCAAGTTGGATTGAGAACACGGGGCTGATGGGAAGCAGGTGGATGTGTTTACTCAGGAACTGGTTAAGAAGCAGGGCTGTCCCCGTGGAGGGAGCTCAAAAGGGCTAAAGACAGAGTGGAAGGCTCTTACCTGAGGCCTCAAAGATAACAGGTGGGTCATCTTTGGCCAGGGTGCCCCCTTGGAAATCCGTGAAGCCTTCTAAGGAGCCGTCATCCAGTACCGGTACCTGTCTCAGCACGAGCAAGGCCTTGGCTCTGTTCTCATTACTGGCCAAAGTTCCACGGTGCCCACCATCCTTCACCAAGAAGCAATCCAAGACCACATCCACTGCCCGCCACTGCCTTTCTGTCAGAGGGGGCTCTGTAGGGAGAAGACTGAGTGAGCACCCTCTTGCCCAGAAAGTTACTCCTGTACTTGCTTCCCACCTTACTCTCCCAAACTGTGATGCCATCCAGGGGTAAAAGTTGCTTTCCAGGATCGCAGCTGTCTCTGTGTCCTTCTCCCTTGTCATCCCCAAAACATGCCTTCTGGAATTCACCTGCTACTCCAGGAAAATACTTCTTGCTGTGACATATTCAATGTCTTGGATTTGCCTTGCTCAGTTTTTACTCATTTCCAGTTTTTGAATGAAAGACCATCTTCTCAGTCAAAGGAATTCTCAGCAGAAGCAAACAGATTGGCAAATATTGGGGCAGTGGCCGTGGGGAGAGGAGACTGCTAATGCTCAAGGCCCTGGCAGCCATCTTAAATTTCCCTAACCACCCCACGGAATCAGCTTCACTTTCTGCCATTACAGGTAGCCTTCCCCTCCCCCACCTCTGGAGGGGGCAGAGGAACTCCTCCTGGGGAACGCCACGCCGTCGTCCTCTTCTGAAGGTGTCTGCTGCCAGGCTGGTGCCCTCTTTCGTATGCCAGGCTGGTGCCCTCTTTTGTAGGACAATGACGGACAGTGACTCCCCCACAATATCCATAGAGGAGGCCCCTGTTTATTTGGTCTCTCCCAAAACAGTGTTCAGTCCTTACTTGCTAGCCCCGGAACCTTTTGCCTGTTGCGCTTAGAAGGCTATTGGAAGCTGTCCCTGACCCCTTTGCCCTTCTGGAATCTAAGAGAGTGGCTACCAGGTGCTTACATTAACCCCTCCCCCAAGACACGCACTTACTGGCTTCTGCTGCTCGGGACAGAGCCAAGCAGAGCAGCAGGCACCATGCTTCCTCGGTGCCCATGGAGGCTGCTCTGGGCCCCCCGCACCCACTCCCTTCTCCAGGACCCCAATGTTTGCAAGGTCCTCGGTTGGAGAAGAGCAGGCTGGCTCTCCGAACACCCCTTGCTGGCCAACAGCAGCCTGTCAGTTTCTTTTCTGTTCTCTCAGCCTACTTTCGCTTTCACTTAAGGAAGTCTTTCTGTGGCTGCCTCTGGGTGAGGCTATTTGTAGCAGCTGCCAAAGTCCTGCTCACTGTTCTCTCTTCTCTGT